CGAAAAACAAGGCAGGATGCCACTGCATACCAAACCACCACAGCCCAATCCGAAGGTCCCAGACCCTCCCCAAATTCAGGGTTGGGGTGTGTGTGTACGGGTTCCATCGTGTTCCCTCAATATTCTCGAGTGCACCCCCCACCAGAAATTGACGATCGTCGACGATCCCAACGGTGACTTTGGGTTGGGTTTGGGGGGTTTGGTAGGACGTCAGGATGGGTCTCGGGAGGGTCGGGGGGCCCATCTTGAACGAATGTGGGCCAGGCGGGAAAGCCGCAATTCTCTCAACTGGCCCTCCGACGATTCAGAAAAACACAGGGGGAACGATTCAAAACAGTGTTTTTTGTCGTTTGCAGAGTTTCTGAAGAGGACGGCAAATCATCTCAATGACGACGACGACGCCCACGAGCAGGCCTGGAATCCAATTCACAAATCATCGCAGAGGGGCGCTGCTGCGTGACGGCCCACCTTTAACATTAATGAGTCGCCAGCCTCAATGCAGGCGACCGCAAACATGGATCAAGGGGGGCGTGGATTAGCGACGGGTGCCGTTTCCATGGGAAGTCGCGGATTTCCGGCGCCGAACGAGGCGGCATTGGCCGCATGTTGGGGAGGGCACCTGCCCCGATCCATGGATTTGGCGACCGCGCGCCAAATGCATGGATCGCTACTCCATGTTTGCGCGCTCCCGATTAATGTTGAACAGGACTCTCTTTTGGTGTCGCCGTGGGCGCTGTCCACTTGAGGCAAGCAGTCGCATGCCCAACAGCGGCCGCTGTCAGTTCTGGGCGGCCTTTGCCGCTTGGCATTTTACATGGTTTCCGAACCCAGTGGGATCAGTCCCCCCCCCGCACCCGGCAACGCAAACTCCAGCAGGCTGCGCTGCCCGCCCCCTCCAGCCAGCCCTTGCGCATCCCCGCTGCATTTTGCCGACTGGGGTCCAGCCACCTCTTGGCCCTCCGCTGGACCAGGACGTCGTCGACGTGGCTATTCGTTCGCTATCTTGGTATTGTGCCTCTTCCATTTCGTGCACTGCCGCCCCTGCTTCAGCCCCTGGGTGTGGCCGTGACGCCGCCCCGCACCGCTGACAGGGGTGCAGCACTGGCTGGCCGCCCCGGCCGGTGCACGGCGACGCACCTCGCCATGTGAGTGCCTTCCCCCCCTCTTTCCCTCCTCCCTCGCAGCCGCTTTCGCATGTCTTTCCCTCACTTTGTCGCCGGTTCAGTCGCGTTTTCCGTTGCCTGGACCTGATCGCGCGTGTGGACTCTGCCGCGCTGCGACGTACAACGTGTGCGAACCCATCTCGAGCGTGCCAGGACGTCATCGTCCGTCGTCGGCGTCACCGCCGTCGGTGTCATCGTCCCCATGACCGTCGTCGCCGTCCGTCGTCGGCGTCGTCTGCGTCAGCGTCGTCGTCGCCGTGGTCGTCCGTCGCCGTCCGTCGTCATCGGCGGTGAAAGCGGCGACGATGGTGACGGCGGGGGCGACGGCTGCCTTTGCGAAGACAGCGACGGCGGCGTTCACGACCATGATGACGTCGACGTTGACGACGGCGGCGACGGTGGCGGCAGCGTCGGGGGCGGCGGCGACGACGATTTGGTGGCTTCGGCAGCGGCGTTGGCGGCGATGGGCGGCGACGACCACCATGGCGGGGGCGACTACCCTGGCGACGACTGCGGCGGCGGCGTCGACGTCTGGGCGGGCACGCCCGCTGCAGGCGCGCGGAGCTCGGCGGCCCTCCCGCAGCGCTCGCTCAGCCCCGCGCGGCGCGGGCGGGTCCCGCGGCCCCGCCCGGAGGCTCCTTCGAGGGGGGAGGGCGTTGGCTGCGCGCAAGAGCAGCTCCGTCGCCATGGTTCCTGGGCGTTCTCGACGGTTCCTGGAGGAGGATTTCTTGCCGCGGGGTGCGTTCCAGCAGCTGCGCCGCTTCGAGGGCGTTCGGGGGGTGCCCGAATCGTCTAGAACGGTTTCCAGAGACTCGAGTCCTGACCAGCAAGCCGACTGACCCGTCGCCGGGGTGACATTTGATTCAGCCCACAGGGGTCCCCCCAGACTCCGGGGCCACCTGAAGGAACGTTGGTCTGATGATTTGCGGGATTTCAGTCTGTCTGAACACACCTGCAGTGAACGAATTTGGGTGGATCTTGCTCGAACAGAGGTATCGAGTTCACTTGAGAGCGCATTCGTAAGTAGAGCATGATTTCATTGACTGATTTTCCACTGCATGGCACATTGTTTCACTTTCTGCCGCCACGACTCCCGCCTGCAGCGCCCCCGATGGCGTGCACGTTACAGGTTCCGTCACAGGGGCCCCCCCAGCACTGGCTTGCGGCGGTTGGACTGTGTCGTCCCGCTTGGACTGTGTCGTCCCGCGGCCCACCCACGCACCAAGGGCCACTCTGGCCTGGGGTCGTTCTCGCGTGTGCACGAGGGGGGGCGTTCAGGGCCCCCGAAGCCAGGACGTTTCGCGCCAGGGCGCGGCAAGATCCAGCGGGAGAGGAAACGAAGGGCCCACGGCTGCAGTTTCCCGGACTGTGCCAACGGTCTGGTTTACCAACGATCGAAGGTGGGTAGACCTCCTACCCTGACACGTCGATTAGCGAATTGGCCGTGTTCGGTTCGCGAGAGGGCGTCGCGGCCGTCATTTTTGCGGGTCCAGGTCCGTCGGTTTCGATCCCATGCCGTTTTCACTAAGGGGAGGTTTACTAAAGGGAGGTTTGTCCACCGCCGAAACGACCTGATTACGGGGCCCTGCGGGGGCAAGGGGGGGGGCCAAGGTTAAGAGGAGAAAGACATACGACGAAGACACCCTCACTCGTTTGCGCCTTTGCAGGCCTCTTGGTGCCGGGAAGACCAGCTACACGCGGCTGATTTGTTGAGCCCCACCGTGCCATCCCCCCCCGTTCCTCCTCCCCGAGAGACGTAGGGGGAGGGAGAGGTCTGACGTCTGACGCTACGAGTGCGACACTACGGGTGCTGTTCAGAGGAGGGCCAGTTGAGAGAACGTCCTTCCGGAATTCTCGTCGAGCTGCTGCTGTTATTGCTGCTGCTGCTCCTCCCCAACATGACCGTTGATGATCGCGCTTCGGTGTTCGGTTTCGTGGGGATGTGGCTCCACAAAATGGGCGCGTTTTCGTCTTGTCGTTCGGATGTGGGGATGTTCACGTTTCGACTTGTCGTTGGATGTTGATCGCGTTTTTGGTTTGCCTTCACAGTGTTTTTCGAACATGTCGCGCCTGCCTTGAGCTCGCCCTTGTCATAGGCGCGCCTTTGACTTCTAGCCGGTGCCTCTCAGCTTATCGCGCATGCGGCCTGAGCATGCGCTTGGATAGACTTCCAGGATCAGCTTGCAGTCGTCCTGTCAATCTCATACTTCTCACCGCCGCCGCCGCCGCTGCCGCCGCCGTTGCCGCCGCCGCCGCCGCCGCCGCCGCCGTCGTCGTCGTCGTCGTCGTCGTCGTCGTCGTCGTCGTCGCTGTCATTGCCGCTCTGGGCGCAGCTCAGGGCCCCCGAGCGCGCACCCACGCGCGCGACCACCCCTGTGGGGCTCTGGCAGGCCGCGCGGTGGCGCCGGCCGCCGCGACGAGGACCGCGGCGACGAGCGGTTGCCCCCGCGGGGGCCCAGCTCGCGCTTGGGCCGCCCCGCCGGGCAGGAGGGCCCGAAGGCCGCCGTCGTGCCGCCGCAAGAATCATCGAGAATGAAAGAACCCCTAAGCCTAATCACACAGTGAAGACGTGGCCTCACTTAGGTCCCCGTCTCTGCATCAGGGATGACGAATTTGGACGGTTTTGTCCGATACATCTAGACCCCCTAGCCCTGATGTTTCGGTCCTGAAAGCTTAGGGTCTCTTCCCAAAGGGTTAGGGGCCGAATACGCGTAAGAGTGACCTTTCGCAGGAGTGGCTGTTGGTGCGGGTCCAATGAGGCCCCCCGATCGCCGAATGCGAGGCGATAGCAGCGGCTTGCGCTCCTGGCAGTGTCCTCAAAGGGCCCCCCCTTGGCCGCACACTAAAGGTCACTCTTGCCTAGGGTCATTCTTGCGTGTAGCCGAAGCATGCCGGCGCCGACGATATCCTAAAGTCGAAGTTCGGGGAGCGGGTTTCGATGGGATCTAGTGCAAATTCTCTACCTCACGGGGCCGTTCACGGGCCCTAAGGGCTCAGGCTGAGAAACCATCCTTGGGATCGGGGCCGAAGCCCCACAGGGCCACGTCAGGAATAAGTTGCAACGACGCCGAGGAGGGGTAGTCGTCGTCGCCGCCTTGGTCGTCGTTGTCGTCCACCCAATACGGGTCATCAGGGGGATCCCTCGTGGCAAGGGCTGGGCGCGGCTCTGAAAGCGGGCCAGGGTGGTCCTTTGGGAGGAGTCCAGGGTCCCGTTTTGAGCGGGCGCCCTCGGGGTGGGGGGTGGGGGCGCTGATGCCCAGGTGCTGCTCAGAAATCGCGGTGGGTTTTTCCCCGTTTACGGGGTCGGGGAACTTCATCCCTCATTGAATAAGCTCTGTTCGAACAAAATTCGTGCAGAGATCGTATCGAGGTTTCCTGTCACGTTTCCCACGACGAAACACGCGATTGCCTTGCATCTATGATATCGGATGTCGGAAGGACAACCCACGTGCCAAGCACATGTTCTGCATGCTTTTTGCATTGGAGTTCCCAGGCTGCCCTCAGAGGAAACATATTTTTGTTGGTCAGCAGCTGTGTCGGTTCGGATCGGGCCGTACTCGTTTACAAACGGCACGGAGGGAGCAGGCACAAGGTAAAGGGTTCAGGGGGGTATTTCGGGTGACAGCAGCAGGGGAGTATAGGGAACAACTTTGCTAAGCGTGGCAGCTTTCTTTCGTGACTCATCATCAGTACTTCTCTCAAAGGGAAATCATATACCACTCCGTTTCTATGCGGCTTTAGTTCATTCAAGAGAAGTTCGAAAACAAGCAGGCAGTGCTAACATGTCCACACCCTGTGTTTTGGGTTTGGCAGAAACTACACGGAAGTCATGGATATCTCCAGTTTTGCATTGTTGTGTGTGTTTTTTTCAAGCCTCCGTAGCCTTTGGCTCGGCGTGGTTCAACAACTCATGGTTGTGCGTTGGTCGGCTTGTCTTGCGTATCAGAGTTTGAAGGAGGCGTCGCTAGCGGTCGTTTTGCTACATTTGACATCCGAAATACAGCCCCTGAGTCAGCGGTTGTTCTCGTTCGATTGTGTGTGGCTTAACTGATGAAGTTGACGTTGTTTGTTTTCGTCGCAGCTTGTATTCGGTTTTGCGCACGGATTCCCACGCTCTTTGTAAGGCCAGCAGGCCCATGCCCAGCCAGCCTTCGACTAAGAAGTCCATTCTGCCTGCGATCGCTAGCACTGAGTCGGCATGCCAGTACTACCCAGACGCCTTGGGTGCCGCAGGAGTCGGAGCGGATGAAGTGGCTTAGTCCATATGTGCTCGCAGTAGAGCTTGGTGGCTCGGAGCTAGCCAGTCGTCTTGGACGACTTTGCCTCTCGTTGGAAGAGCACAGCCAAGGCCGATCAATGAGCAATATTGGCGGTTTTCAAAGCGAGAACTTTGCCTCGCATGTGGACCCGGCGCTTTCAGAGCTCATGTGTCTGTTGCACGAACCGCTTGCAGCCTTCCTTTGGAGAAGGCGGCAGGGAATTCCACCAGGTGGCCTCAGCTCGGAGGGCCTTTGGATTTCGAGCAGGCCGGAGCACATCTGGGCCAACATAAACAGACCTGGTCATCACAACAGGGCGCATGAGCATGGCCCGCCGCTGCTATCTCGCGCAGCATCGGGTATATTTTATCCATCGATCGAGGATGCCACTGTGGAATCGGGCGCAAGTGCACAGAGCCGGCTGTCTCCCCCGGCGCCTGTCAGATTCTACGATGGGCGTTTCACAGAGGTTATCCCTCGGGCAGGCCTCTTGTTGGTATTCCCAACCGACCTCCTGCATGAGGTTGACCCTGTGTGGCCTGGCGGCAGCCCGCGAGCCTCCATTGCGTTCAACCTGTTTGTGCGATGGCTTGACTTGCCAATCCTCCGTGCAGCAGTGGCTGGAGATTCTGCCGAGATCAAGAGGCTGGTTGCAGAGGGTGCGGACGTGGACGCAACTGACGGCGTGCTGAACTTCGGCGCCGTGCACCTGGCTGCAGAGGCAGGGCATCTTCCTGCGCTGCAGACCCTTCTCGCTCTGGAAGCTGATGCCTCCATCGTCTCGCTCGAAGGTTGGTCTCCCTTGGGTCTGGCTTCGGCACAGGGCCACTTGCACATTGTAAAGTACCTCGCCAGCCAGCTGCCAGCCATTTCACCAGATAGGATCACATTTACACGGGAGGCCGCCGATGCCGCGCGCTTGGCCCCAGAGTTGGACCTCACTCGGGGCTTTGCAGGCTTGGACGGTGCCTTGGCGGTGGCCGCTGAGAGAGGACACGAGTCCATTGTTGAGTTTCTCAGCAGCCTTGCCGACGATTAAGACGACATGTACACTGTAGAAAATTACCCTCAACAGCGATTTGTCAGTGTCTATCCCATGACCTTTGGCCCATCCCGCCACCGTGCACGGGTTGTAGGTCAGAGTTCTCAGGGATGGTTCTTGGGGTTTCTTCGGAGCGCTCTCGGGGGATGCTTAGGGGCAGTTGTGAGGCCTCTTGGGAGCCTCTCGGGGGCCTCTTGGGGGCCTCTTGGGGGCCTCTTGGGGCCTCTTGGAGAGATGAGTTCAATATCAGGCAGACTAGTTCAATCTCCAGAAGCAGGTTCAATCCCCGACAGAAGGGTTCAATCCCCAACGTCCATCGTCATTGCATGTCGACAGCAAATGAGACTCGTGAGCTCAGAGTGCCCATGCGAGTCCTTGAGGTAACCACATAGAAGTCTGGGACCAGTTTTTGCCGGGGATTAACACTTCTGAGGTTCTATACTAGTAGTGGCACCATCGGAGCTGAATGCATTTCCTTACACTTGGAGTCACATCGGGTTCCTGAAAGGATCCAGGGCGATCCTATCTGGAGTGCCAAATCATTCCTTCTGCGGAATCTCGATTTCTCTTTGTCGGGTTCCGATTGGGATCTTCCTAGCATCCAATCGGATCCTCTATTGTTGGATACCTATTCACATCCTAGTGCAAGCCAGCTGGGATCCAAAGCTCCGTTGTCATGGGGGTCCAATACGATTAATTCCCCGTGGGCTCCTGTTGCGTAGGTTCCTTAAGGCATCCTACATAACTCAATGCTGAGACACTCATTGGATCCCGTTCGGCTCCCGATGGGATTATATGGGATACATTCGGATTTCAAGCGATTGGATTCCTATTGGGACACACATCGGGTTTTCATTTGGACTCGAGGAAAGCAATATTCTGTATTTCTGTTGGGTTCCCGTTGACGTTGTCTTGGTGCAGTCATTGGCAGCCGCGCATTTGTTGTGTGCCGTGCTGATGCCACGAGTACCTCCGAGGGGGCTCCAGGAAGCCCCCTAGCATTTTTCACTTGTTTCGAGCTTGACACCAAGGGCTGCAGCCTGTGAGAATGACATCGATAATTCATTGTAGACCATCGTAAATGTACGCGGTTCCAGCTCACGTCGATAGGTTTGGCGTAATATTGAAGTATTGCGGCCCAGTGCCAGGTTATCAAAGCGTTGGGGATCAAACTTTCAGGCACAACACACTGAACGCGACCCCTGGTTAGCTGCTACACTCACATACTGGGCGACGGTAGCTTGATTGATTCATCGCACAACACGTGTGGTGGCGGTGGTATGTATGCATAAGTACATATATACACCATCCGTCGACGGGCGCTCGACCGCTGCATGAGCGCGATCTGCCCGCTGCGCTTACAATGCTGCAAGAGGCAAACTTCGACCCAGTACCGTGGATGAGCGCGCAAGTTTAGCATGCTCGCGAGGCCCACGAGGCCTGTCGAAAGACCCAAGAGGACTGTCGTGAGGCCCTAGAGGCCACTCGACAGGCCCAAGAACCATCTTGGGCCGCCTTGGGCTCGTCTTGGGGCCTCTTGGGTTGCCATGGGGCCATATTCGAGGCCTCTTGGGCGCTCTTGGGACGATGTTTGGGGCCTCTTGGGCCACCTTGGGCCGTCGGAGAGCTGATAAGAAGAAAATGCCCAACTCCTTCAACAACTTCAGGAAAACGAATGATTATTGCCCTTTCGGGCCTTCCTGGAGGACGTCTTGGAGGCCTCTTGAGGGCTTCTTGGCCATTCGTAGGCCATCTTGGAGTCATCTTGGGCCGTCTTGGAGGCTTCTTGGACTAATTTGAACGCATCTTGGACTCTCGGGCCGTCTTGGAAGCCATCGTGGATCATCTTTGGTGACTTGGAGGCCATCTTGGAGGCCATCTTGGGCCAACGTGACCATCGTATAGGCTATCTTGAGCAGTCTTGGAGATTTTTTTGCGGTCGTTCAGGTTGTTGCGGGGCCTTTCCGGGACCCCGGCGGGATCGGCCGAGGCCCCAGGGGGAGTTCTGGTGGAAAAGAACCAAAACCGAAATCGAAAGGATCTAGCACGCGGGGCACCCTTGTGGCAAGCCAACAGGGGGCGGCGGATCGAAGACGCCTACGGCGAGTCACCGCCGCCCCCCTGCCTTTGTGGAAGCGCCTATGTGGCCGAACGTTGAGGCCAGACCTGCCAAGCTATCGGTCATGTGTTCCCCGAATCGGTTTGGAAAGCCTTCGGGGGAACACGTGGGCATCTTGAAGGTCAGCGTGGCCCCCTAGAGGCCATTTTGACTCCTTCGTGCCTTCTTGGAGGACGTCTTGGAGGGCTCTTGGGCCGTCTTGGAGGCCATCTTGAGCGTCTTGGAGGCCTCTTGGGCCGTCTTGGGGGCCTCTTGGGGCCGTGTTGGGCCTCTTGGGCGATCTTCGGGGGCACTGGGGCCGTCGCGGGCCGTCGGAAGGCAGAACTACAAGCAAATGCCACAATCCTTCAAAAACTCATGGGAAACCAATGATGTCTGCCTTTTCGGGCCTTCCTGGAGGCCCTCTTGGAGGCGCCTTGGGCCGTCTTGGGCCATCTTAGTGCCATCTTCGGCCGTCTTGGTCGGCCCCTGGCCCGTCCGACGCCGTCGGAAGCCGTTTGGGGGGGCCCTCTTGGAATGTTCCAGGGCCGTCTGGGAGGCCATCCTGGGCGTCTTACAAACCTCCTGGGCCGTCTTTGGGGTCTTTGGGCCGTTCTGGGGCCATCTTGGAGGCCTCTTGGACGATCTTTGGGTGCTTTTGGGCCGTATGGGGCCGTCGGAAGGCCGAAACGAAACACATGTCAGAATCCTTCGAAAACCTATGGGAAATCAATGTTTTTGGCCTTTTCTGGCTTTTCTGGAGACCCTCTTGGAGGCCTCTTGGGCCCTTTTGGGCCAGCTTCGAGCCAACTTCGGCCATCTTGGTGGGCTCCTGGCCCGTCTGACGCCGTCGGAAGCCGTTTGGGGGGCCTTTCTGGGCCGACTTGGGGCCCTCTTGGGGTGCTCCAGGGCCGTCTTAGAGGCCATCTTGGGCGTCTTGGGAGCCTCTTGGGTCCTCTTTGTGCCCTCTTGGGGCCGTCTTGGGGCCTATTGGGCAGTCCGAAAGGGCATCTTGGAGGCCTTTTGGGCGCTGTGGGGGCGATCTTGGGGCCCCTTGCGCCGTCTTGCGTCGTCGGAGAGCCGAAAATGAGCGAATGCCAGAATCCTTCAAAAACGCATGATAAATCAGTGTTTTTGGCCTCTTCGGGCCCTCCTGGAGGACCTCTTGGAGGCCTCTTGGGCCGTCTTGGAGGCCTTTGGGGGGCCTCTTGGGCCATCTTGGGCCGTCTTGGAGTCTCTTGGGCCGTCCGGAAGGCCGTCTTGGACCATTTTGGGCGGATTTGGAGGCCATCCGGGACCATCTTGGAGGCCATCTTGGGCCAACGTGGCCATCTTGGAGGCCATCTTGAGCCGTCTAGGAGGATTTTTCCGGGAATTGGGCGATCTACGGGTGGCCGGCGGGTCGGGCCGAAACCCATTGGGACAGTCTTTTTGGAAAAAGAACCAAAACCAAAACCCATATAGTTTGGCACGCCAGGCACCCCTTTGCTAAGGCAAAAGGGGGCGGCGGATCGAAGACGCCTACGGCGAATCCCCGCCGCCCCCTGCCTTTTTGGAAACGCCGATGTGGCCGAAAGTTGGACTAGAGCTTGGCCAAGCTATCGGACCATGAGTTCCCCGAGTCGGTTTGGAAAGCTTTCGGGGAACACATGGGAGAGAATGATTATGAACAGGAAGAGGAAGAGGAAGAAATAGAGTAGGAGGATGAGGGTTGTTAGGAGTCTCTTGGGGCACCCTTGGGGTCTGTTGGGGGCTTCTTGGGGGCCTCTTCGAGGCCTCTTGGAGGCATCTTGGGGGCCTCCTTGGGCCTCTTGGGGGCCTTTGGGGGCTTCCTGGGGGTCTCTTTGGCCGTCTTAGGGCGTTCCTGGTCCGTCTGACGCCGTCTGGAGCCGTCTTGGGGGCCTCTCTGGGCCGTCTTGGGGCCCTCTTGGGGCGCTTCAGGGCCGTCTTGGAGGCCATGTTGGGCGTCTTGGAGGCCTCTTGGGCCGTCTTGGGGCGCTCTTGGGGCCGTCTTGGGGGGCCCTTGGGCCGTCATAGGGCCTTCTTGGAGGCCTCTTGGGCGATCTTGGGGGCCTCTTGGGCCGTCGGAAGGCCGAAAAGAAGAAAACGCAAAAAACCTTCAAAAACCTAAGGAAAACCAATGATTTTGGCCTCTTCGGGCTCTCCTGGAGAACGTCTTGGAGGCCTCTTGGGCCATCTTGGAGGCATCTTGGGGCCATCTTGGCCGTCTTGGAGGGCATCTTGGGCCGTCTTGGAGGCATCTTGGAGCCATCTTACCCGTCTTGGAGGCCATCTTGGCCGTCTGGGAGGCATCTTGGAGGCCATCTTGGGCCATCTTGGCCGTCTTGGAGGCCATCTTGGGCCAAGTTGGGGCAACAAAGGCATTGACAGACGGATTTTGGGAAAATTACGGGTGGCCGGCGGGACGGGCCGAAGCCCATTGGGGAGTTCTTTTAGAAAAAGAACCAAAACCAAAAGCTGAAACATCCAGCACGCCGTGCACCCTTGTGGCAAGACCACAGGGGGCGGCGGATCCTAGTGGCCTCCGGCCCATCCGGCCACCGTGCCTGGGTCGTGAGTCTGATGCCTTTTGTATATGTGTTAAGGTGTCGTCGGGAGCCCTGGGGCCCTCGTGGAGGCGGTTTGGGCGCCTCTCGGGGGCCTCGTGGGGTATCTTTGGGCTTCTTGGAGGCCTCTTGGGCGCGTCTTGGGCGCCTCGTGGGGCCTCTTGGCGGCCTCTTGGGGCCTCCTGGGGGCTTCTCGGCGCACAGATATTGAATGTTCGGTTCGTTGTCCCCTGCTTGGGCCCCTCTTGGGGCCGTTTCAAAAACCGTAGTAACATCTACGAGGTGGGCCTCTTGGGGCTCTCGGGAGGCGTCTTGGAGCGCTCTTTGGGCCTCTTTGGGTCCTCTTGAGCCGTCTTAGAACCATCTTCGGGCGCCTTGGAGCACTCTTGGCCTCGGCAATGCAAATACGGCGTGATTTGCGAAGGGTTCATGGCCTCGGGGACGCGAATATTGAATCTTTTTCGGAGATATGTTGTCTCGGGGACGCAGGAATTTTGTAATTTACTAGGGGTTGTGGCCTCGGGGATGCGAGCACTGTAATTTACGAGGGGTTATGGCCTCAGGGGCGCGAACCTCACGTATCTTCACGTGCCCCACGCCCCCCTCAGGAATTCAGAGAACGCGATCGGGGCGTGGTAACCGGCTGGTTTGGGGTTCCCCTCCTCGCGCGGACTTCAACCATTTTTTCAGTAGGAAGTAGAAAGCAGGATTGTAACATTGGAGGCTTGAAACTGCAACTGGTGCAATGAGCAGCACGCTTCGGCCTACAGCCTGGTGGCCCCACAAGGGGGTCGGCGGGGATATAGACGCTGATCTTTATATTTGACCCCCAGCGTGGATCCCAAGAAGTGTGTTCTTAGCAATATATGTTGTGCAATCTGTGTGACGTGGCAACGACACCGACGCCGACGACGACAGCGACATTGACGACGAGGTTGACGCCGACGACGACTGCGACGACACCGACGACGTCTCCGATGACTTCGACGACGACGACGACGACGACGACGACGACGACACCGACGACGACGCCGACGCCGACGACCACGACCACGACGACGCTGGCGACGACGACGACATCGCCGACGACGACGACGCCGACGACGACGACGGCTACGACGACGACGACGCCAACGACGACGACGACGAAGTCGACGATGACGACGACGTCGCCAACGAAGACGACGACGACGAGGGAGGAGGGAGGCCGACGACGGCGACAACGACGACAACGACGAGGGAGTAGGGAGGACGGCGACGACGCGAACGACGAGGAAGGAAGGAGCACGGTGACGCCGACGACGACAACGACGAGGGAGGAGGAAGACGACGACGATGGCGACGGCTTTGGAATAAGAGGGACGTCAACGAGACG